CAGTTTATACAATCGAATAACTCTTCTGCAAAGAAAAATATCCTCAAAGCAATGGGCATGGCGCTCAAGTTGAGCGCCAATGAGATGAAATCATTAGAAAATAGATGACCACTTGTATAATAGGTACTATATATTATATTATATATTATGTCATATCGGCTAGTTCTTGTGCTCACAAATTGGCAGCATATTATGCAACAATATGATGACGGTTTATGCTGTTGTCAAATTTTTTACTACGGGGAGTGATCACTTATATTGCTGGTATTAGAATAAAATTCATGCATATATGTTTTGTTTTGAAACTGAGTGTTACTCTCAAGTCTCCAGATTTCTGGTGGACTTTTTGGTCCAGTTATAGGGGAAGTTTAGCGTGTGAGCGCTCAGTTCTTCTCTGTCACCATTACGACGCACAATGTTTTCGAAACCGAGACCACATCTATGGAGGATTATATCACCATCGATTACGTTAATGGAAGCTTCTTCATCTTCTCAGAAGACGGTATGTTTTGGAGTACTCCGGAGGGTACTTAGATTTATCTATTTTTTCTATCGATATATCCACTGCTTGCGTTTTCAAAGACTTCTGAGAAATTCTTCTTGAGATGCACTTCGACTACGAAACGAAATGCGCATGGTTGTCGCATCTGCAATGAAATCTGACGAGGCTCCGTATTTTGTTGCCCCCGAGGAAGTCACGCTTCTAGTCCAATACGGTAACTTCTGGAGATTTCCGCCCTTCTACATATTGAGAAGATAAGTTTAAGGTTATGCACGAGTTCGGGAAGCTGTACCAGGTTCCGGTTGCCCCAGTTCAAACCTAGATGACCGCAGAACAAATCACTCTGAGTCTACCATCATCAGTGAAGTACGATCTTTTACTTTTTGAAGTGCTGATTTGATATTCTTTTGAGGAGCTAGAGAAACGCGCACGCCTGATAGCTCTGGGAAGAAAGGCGAAGGCTTTGAAAAGGAGTAAAATGGGAGATGACTCTACTGCTAAGGAATTGCGGGTTGTGAATCCGCTGCTCGCATAGTGGTTTATCACAGTCTATATTTAGGTTACGAAGAAGGACATGATGGAGACCGATGTTTCTTCGGACGAAGTATTGGAAGTGATAATGGAGCTCAAGCGAAGTGAAAAGAATATCAGAGAGAAGAAACTCATTGACTTCCCAAAATGTTAGCAGTTGGATGATCTAGGATTTTCTGTCTCAGTAATCGAGTTTGTTAGTGGAGAGTGATGCAAAGATGTTTCACTGGCTGGACCAATACGACATACCGCTACCATGTACCAGACAGTTTCGAGCTCGAGAACTGGTCTATCACGATCTCTGGCGGAAAGGATACTATCTTACATGTGGAGATCAATTCGGCTCTGCTTGGCTAGTCTATGAAGGTATGGTCTCGACGAAGTCGACTTGATATGCACAAATCTTCCATCAGGACTTCCCGGCAATGTCCACGCGAAGTTTTTATGTGATTTTATCCTTGATGACGAGATGTTATCACCTCTTAAACTGATTTCGCTTGTACGGGTTGCGACACAGGTGGGCACACTTTGCAGCACGGAAGTAAAACTGCCGATGTTGTTGCAGGTAAAGAAGACCTTGTTGATCGCTATAGTTCCTTCCGACAACAATCTGCCACATTACATCACATTCGAATGGTTCAAACCTTACACCAGAGATGTTGAATGATTGCCGGAATACCGTTATTGCTTACCATTGTTCTTGACCATTTTCGACATAAATATATTGAGATTACATCAATGTTAATTGCTTTTCAAGAGAGGTATCGGAGTGTGCACGCTAAGGACAGATGCCTACTGCATTAGCAACTCTATCTACTGCTGGACGAGCGGATTGATCGCAGAAGCGGAGTGAG